CTTTTTGGTAAGATTCAATGCAAACCTAATTAGCTTATTGTATAGCCTGCGCAGATATTTAGCTTGTGCCCAAAGGGAGCTGTGGGTGGTGTTATCTGAGGTGACAACCCTGTAAGATAAAAGGTGGGTTGTGGCAATAAAAGGGAGGACCAGAGAAACTTTCCCCTCTATTTTCATCTCTATTTTAAAAAAAATATTTGCTTGATGAGCACAGCACAATTCTACCATGCCAGGTTGAGGCACTACTCTTTCAATATACCACTTGCTTTATTTAACAAAAAGAAAGAAAAGGAAGGAAAGTCACTGTAGCCAGCTGAGTGACAGCTGCAAGAAAAGGCAGGGAAAGGGGCTAATTGACTCCATGGGCTTCCCCTCCCCCCTTCCCTCAGGCAGTGCAGCCAACCTTCACCACAACGTTTCCCTTTGTACTACTACTGCCACTGTGAGCTTACCTCACTGCTGCCCCCTTACTCATAAGTAAACCAGGTAAACTTTACTCATGAGTAAACAGGCAATTGAAAGATTTGTGTTGTCCCTTCCCCTGTGTGGAGATGAATAAATATTCCCAGTGTGAACGGAAGCATCTCTCAAATGAGAGAGAAAATTTTATGTGGGAACCACTCTGCTCCCAGTTCCCCCGTCCGGACAGACCCTTCATTTATTGTTAATGTATTTTTACCATGGTGGGTGGAGCAGGGAGGGAAAAATGGTTTTGTTGGTTTTTGTGCCTCAGATGGCAGCATAACTTGTTTGGCCTTGCACCAGAATAACTTCTTGGCTCATAAGACATATATTTTTTACACAGAACATGTTAAAATGGCTGTCCTTCTATGAAGATTGGAAATGTTATGCTGGCTGACAGGTTCTAGGAGATGGGGTTTAGAAAAGTGATTTTTTTTCCTCTTAAAATGGAAGGCGTGTGAGGTTTTACGACTATTGTCATCAGTCTTCAGGTAAATAAACAGCACTATGTATAAATGTGAATTACATCTGGCAGAGAAGGATGAACACAGTTGCTCTTTTCTTAAAAGTTTTTTCCCCAAGTTCAGCCTTCTTGATTTGCTTTTATCTTAACACCTGCTAATATAGTAGCACGATGTTTATCCCAAAACGTCAGGCATATTGTGTGGACAGAAAGCAGAGCTCATTAAGGGTGCCTCTCAGCAGTTGTTATCATGGAATTTTAAATTTTAACCCCATTATTCATTGAGTAGGAGATCCAGTTTCATCAGTTCACAGCAAGCTGACCAAGTCAAACAAAGGTGATCAGATTATTTTAGGATCGCCCAGCATGATATTTTGATTTGACAGTTGCTAAAGAAGCATTTGCCTCATAGCAAATGCTGCACAGCAAGACACCTTTTGTATGCTTGTTGATCAGAAGCGGAACTCCTCCATCCTTGCTGTGCAAAAATGTGTCATTGCTCGATAGCCGTTTGATTGTCTACATGATGGGCTCTAGACAGAGGATCTTCTCAGTAAAGGACCCTCTTAGTATGTAAAGCACTTCTTAATGAAGCCTGCCTGGTTCTCTCCCTATCGTTCTTTCACTGTATATTCAAGCTGTGGCCCTTTCGGAGGCCCTTTGCAGTTGTGTGGTCTGAGGGCAATGATGCACTCTATCTGCTGATACACAGTGCAGCTATGTTTGTGTTGTTGCTTTGGTATCCACTGGCTGAATTCTGTTGCATAGCCATATGTATGTGTCACAAAGCTCTGGAAATGATAGGGGAAAAACCGCAACCGGGCAGAAGTAACATTCATCAAGCATCCTTGTGGGTGTGTCATGCAAGAGTGCTAATGTGAACTAGAGATCAACAGCATAACCGCAACATGAACTGTACAGTCATGGATCGCACAATCAATTGTGCAAGTGCAATGTAACCCAATTGTGCAATGTTGGCGAAGTAGTTGGAGCCTGTCATTCCCAGAACAGAGTTTGGAAATAACAACAACAACAGTACTTTTGAACAAGGCATGGCAATTCCAGTCAAAGCAATTGTCTAGTATTGTGCAAATAACCTTTACTGCGTAACTGTATTTTTATGGAAGATCCAAGCAATACCACCTTTGTTTTTTCCACTGCTTTTTCCAAAACCAACCAACCAAACGAACAAAAATCAGTCAAGGTATCCTGAGGGTAGAAGGCATCTCAGTTTCTAGTGAGACACTGTGTTTCCTCTTTGTACCTGTTCTGGTTGTTTTTCTCTTTGCACATAATCAAGGGCTCTTGTTTCTCTGCAGACAGAAGAACAATCACGCTCATCGTATCATGTGCGTCGGTGAATTGCATGGGCACTAAAAATAACCTCCCTCTTCGTTTAGTGCTCTTCAGAGCCCAAAGGGGAAAAAAGAAAGGAAAAGAGGGACAACTATTCACAAATGTTGATAAACCCACTTCATTCAACTTCATGGTTCTTTTGTGTTACATTCCTTTCTTTCTTTGTTGTTCTCATTCAGGGCATCATGACCCTCACCTTATGCAACATCCAGACATGGAGGGGAAGAAGAGGCAAAGGAGCGCCTACCAGCCCTCAAGTAACTATCTTCAAAAGTGCCCAGTCTGAACTTGAAACCAATAAACACCGGAAGTAAGCCCAGCAAAGCAAAAGCTTATATACCACCCTATAGTACTTAAAGCACTCTCTGGGCAGTTTACAATTTAATTATGCAGGCTACACCCCCCCACACACACACACACAAACACTCCCAATGAGCTTCCATTTACTGAGCTCAGAAGGATGGAAGGCTGTCAACCTTCAGCTGGCTAACTGAGCCCAACATGTGCACACTCAAGTTGTGAGCAGAGTCTTGGCTGCAGTACTGCAGTTTAACCAAGCAGTTTAAGAAGGGTGTCAGTAACTGTTCTGAAAAAGAACATTAAAAGAGTCATAGTGCCAAAATAAAATTCCTGATGAATTTAAAGTCCAGATAAAGAACAGATTTGCATCACTAATAAATTCAATTGACCATGAACCAGAAGAACTGTGGACTGAAGTCATATAGTCACTGGGTTTTAATTTGAATTCCTCATTAAGTAAATTGCGAGGTATACAACCAATGTATTTGCCTCTTATATAGAGCAAGAAATGGCAGATATTCAAGTTGTATTAAGAAAACAAAGAAGCAATAAGGATCATACTGCAAATATACATTGGCTATTGTAGTGTTCCAAAGAATTTGAGAAGAAAATCAGATTGTGTTTCATAGGCTTTGATTATGCAGAGCATGAAAAGCTATGGGTTGTTCTGAAAAAAAATCAGATGTACCCCAACATTGGATTGTCCGGATTCATACAAGCTATACTTTAGTCCAGAAACCACTGTTAGGATAGCATATGCAGAAATGTAATTATTTCCAGTGCACAAAAGTATTTCCCTACCTGTTCAATTTGTATATAGAACATATTATATGGAAAGCTAGATTAGATTCATCTGAAAGGGTGGAGAGTTTATAGACCACAAGAAAGATAAATAAATGAGTTCTGGATCAAATTATTTGTTTGTTTGTTTGTTTGTTTGTTTTTAATTTATACCCCGCCCCTCTAGACCATGTCTACTCGCTATCGCGTACCACATAAAATAAATCAATATAAAATATATAATCATTAAAAATACAATTACTATATTAATTAAGCTTGAACTTAGAACCCAAACTAGCTAAACTGAGACTGTCAAAATGTGGGCATATCCTGAGAGAACAATACGTCCTGGAAAAGACAGCGCTTGGAGAAGTGGAAGGCTGTATGAAAAGGGGAAGGCTTAACACAAGATGGATTGACTCAATAAAGGAAGCCACAGCCTTCTATATGAAAGAACTGAACAGGGCTGCTAATGACAGGATCTGTCTAATGTCATTAATTAATACGGTCATCCTAAATTGGCAGCAATTGGAGGGCACATAACAACACCAGAAATCAAGTGATTTCTCAAACTATTTTTGCAGGGGGGAAAAACAGAAAGATTAACAAGCACTTTTCAAACAAAAATGTTCTGGAGATATCTTCCCATAGTCAATACCCTCTACGTACTAGGCGACTCTTTAAATCAGAAATGTTAGACTTTGTTTAGATTTAGGTGGGTTGTAAAAAAAAACCTTCTCTTGTTCAAAATGACTTTTGCATTACTTCAAATGCAGTTAACTCTAAATGTTCCCACTAAAAACTGAGTTGTCTTTGTTCACAATGTTTGTTATGCACCCGTTTTGATTCCGTAAAGTTACACCCCTTAAATGGTAAGTTACCCTATAAATCCTTTTTTGGCTGAAAGGTGACTTAGATTAAACAAGGAAATAAATAAATAATAAATATTAAGAATCTCAGGTTTCAGAAGCTGGTAGGGACAAAACAATGTTCATCTAAAGATGGGTATTATTTTGGTGGTGCCTTTTTGCTTTCTTTAAGACTGGAAGTGCAAAAAAAAAGTGCCTAAGTTACTGAGCACAAACTTTCTAAAACCGACTGGTTGCTTGGTGAATCGCTTACAGGCCCCGTTCCAAATTTTATTTTTAAATAAAACCAGCAACGCCTGTGCCAAAAGAAGAAAGCAAAGTGGGCTGAGCTTAAAAATCATCTCCTAGTTCTGCAATAAACCAAAGGTAAATTGGACACACTTCGGATTTTGCTGGATAGTTTTCTGGAGAATACGGTAAAGGCGCTTCAATCACGTGTGTCTCTCTCTCTTTTTTTCCCCTTTCGCTCTTCTCGCTCATTCATGAATCACGACAATTTATTAGAAGAGGGAAAGGATGAATCAACAGGGAAAAGGAAAACACGTGCCTTTGAGTTCAGAAGAGACGATGCCTTTGTGAAGGCGAATGAATGAGAAGTTTTAAACTGAGGAAGGTCCAACGGAGTCTGGATATCCCTGAACTAATCTGTTTACGGCGGCAGCGAGAAGGAGGGAGCGCCGACTAACCAATCAGTGGCACTCGCATCCCTCTTTGGACACGTGTCTTTTCTTCGTCTGAGGGCGCCTCCCCGCGATCTGCTCCCGGCGAGGGCTTGTGGGGCGAGGAGGTGACCGGGGTCTTTCTTGCCCTCCAGCATGGGGATGTGTTACAGCCTCCGAGCCGGGGGAGACCACCTGCCTCTCCCCTCCTACGGCGGGGAAGTGTCGGATCGGGGCGGCGAGCGCACGCCCGCTGGAGCCGCCAAGACGACGCACCTCAAGACCCAAGAGAAAGCGGAGAGGGAGCGGAGCAAGAGGATCGACAAGATGCTGAAAGCCGAAAAGAGGGAATACAAGCAAACGCACCGCCTCCTTTTGCTGGGTAAGCGGCGACCAGGCGGGGGGGGGGAGAAGAAGCGCTGGACGCGCGCCGGTCTCGCCGCCTTGGCCGCTCTTGCCGTGTGCGCGGGGGGTGCCCCATACCCGGGCTGCCAGCGCGGTGCCAAGCCACCCGCCCCGGGTTTTAAGTGAGAGAATTGGCCCCTTGTTCCCTTGCCTGGCCTGTCCCAGAGTTTGAAAGGGCGTCTTCATAAGCAGCGGTGCGGCCAACGGCAGGGGAACACCCTGCCACGAGAGGCTGCACCCTCTTTGCAAACTGTTTGCTTTCATCCCCTCAGCCGCTCCCCGTCCCTTTCGGTGTAGTTCTCGGACTTGCAGATTTGTGGGGGGGAAATCTGCTTTTTTAAAAACTTTTTTTTTAAACCTGGTAGCCAGGTTTTGCATGGGTCGACGTTCAACAGGTGGTGTCCGTCTTCTCCTAAAACGCGCGCCCACGCATCCCAAGCCAAGGCAAGCCCCGGGTTTGAGAGCGACCCGGGAGGGAGACGATCGGCTTAGGGCTGCCGCGGCTGCAAAAGGCGCGCGCGTGTCGTCTTAGCGGTTAAGCGACGTACCTAGGCAGCTCCGGTCGGCTCCCCTACTTTCAAGTCGCGTGTCTCTTCTTTCCTTTTCGGCCCCCGGCGATCCACTCTAGGAGCGGGCATCGGAGCGCTTCTCCTCTGTAACGTCTTCCCGGGCTGGCAGATCAAAAGGATGGATGATTTGGAAACTGAGAAGGCAGGGTGTGAATAGTTTCGTGCTGACCAAAAAAAGTAAAATTCACGGGCTCCAAAAAAATGTGTACTGTACTCTTAACTTTTTAACACTGTTAGCCTGTTTCAGCTGTTCTTTAAACTTTAAAGCATGCCAAAGGCATGTATCTATGTGTTTTTGAATGGTCCATCTTGAAACTTCTCTCAACTGCTCTGATAACTGGGATCTCCACCAGCTCCCTCAGCCTTGGCACTCTAAAAGTGTTTTGGACTCCGTTCCCATCATCCTCAACCAGTGTCGTCCTATTGGCTAGGGATGCTGGTTATAGCAGTCCAGCATTTTTTGAAGGCTGCTAGTTTGGTGGCCCTTTTTATTGCTAAATTGCTGGGATCTGTGCAAGAACGAGTAATTCAAGACCTATTTATAACTTGGTTTTGCAGTGCAATTTTTATTTTATTTTAATTAATATTTTAAAGATTTGTTGTATGGCATTTATACTAAATTGACAGGCCAGCATTTACATTGGCTTCTAGTTTTGATAAAATTGCTGGGTCATCGTCTAGGAAAATGCTTCTTCGTTTCATTGTTGTTGCTGTTCTTTCCTCTTCAATATTTTATTTCAGCCTGAAAATTTAGGGGTATAAACTTTTACTTATAGAAATGTTATGCTGCACAATCCTTGTTTCACTCACAGACCTTGGTGATCACTATTTCTTACACTTCAGCATTGCACTATCTTGGTGTTACCTAACATGACATAATAATTCTCTATAAGCTGTTCAGTTCAGAAAAACAGTTCACAGTATTTTAAAAGTGATCACTCAGTATTTTAAAAGGTAAATGTTCTTGGGGATGTGGGGGCGGGCAGAGAGGAAGAAAGATGCAGTTCAGTAACATGGTCCCCAGGTGTTCTTGGACTACAACTCCCAGAAATCTTGGCCAACGTAGCTAGTGGTGAAAAAACTGCATATGCTACCACTCCCAACTGAATTGTGGGGTTCATGAGTGGGAGAAAGCAACATAAACTACTAACAAATCTAACTGTTATTTTCTTTTAGGTTTTTATTCAAAACTAACACTATTTAATCTGTTATTTAATGAATTAAACATTTGTTAATGTTACTGTGCACTAGTTTTTTGTGTTCACCTTAACCAGTTAGTATTAGTACTTTTGGACTCATTTGCCAACCTCTGCCAACAGTCAGCAAAAACAAGACCTGGAGCTGACTGCGGCTCTGATCATCAGCTTCTCATAGCAAAATTCAAGCTTAAACTGAAGAGAGTAGGAAAAACCACTGGGCTACTCAGGTATAATCTAAACCAAATCCCTTATGAATACACAGTAGAAGTAAAGAACAGATTTAAGGAACTCAATTTGGTGGACAGAGTGCCTGAAGAACT